AGCTAGCAATTTTATCTTTTAATTCCAAAGAAAAATATTTCATTTTCTCATACTTTTTCTCAAATCATTCAAATCAATTTTTAATTCGCATGCTAGAGATTTGAGATCCTCATTTTCTTTTTCAAGAAATTTAATTTTCTCATTCAAAACATGTTTTTCATCACAAGAATTATCTAATGCAACAACATATCATTAACTCTACTTTTCAAACAAACATTTTCATCTATCAAATATTTATTTTCTATAGACAATGTCTTATACTTCTTTGATAGTGTCACATACTTAGAGCTAACTTTTTCTAAAGCACATTACATGCTTTCAAATTGCTCAAATAATTCATCATAAGTTGGGGGCTTATGAATTACCTCATTGTCATCGCTCCCATTGTTTGAATCAGCCATCAAACACAGCCCGATTTTATCATGCTTTTCCTTTTCAATTTCATGATAATTTTCTTGATTTTGAGAATTATAATTCTCCTTCACATCAAAAAAATCATTAGTAATGCAAGGAGAATTATCAAGAAAAATCCAAATATCATATGCATATGTAAAATGTGAAGTTTTATCGCATATATTTTTATCTAAAGCACACATATGATATTTATAGCTTAAGAATTAAAAGAAAGCATTTCATCACTTAATTTTACTTTTGATAAATCATTCTCACAAATATACAAAATATCAAAATTAATAGATAACAAAAAAGTTTTTATTTTATGTCTCCAAACATCATATTTCCTACCATCAAAGAATGGAGGTCTATCAATGCATGACTTTCAAGAAAATCTAAAGTTGTCATAACTAGCACTAGCAATTAAGCTTTTCAAATAATTTTTCAAAAATTAACAAGATACTTAGTATCAAGATAAAATTTGAAAAATATTTTTTGTAGAAGAGCAAAACATCGCTCTGATACCACTTGTTGGATCGGCATGACAACCCTAGAGGAAGTGAATGGGATTTAATGAAACTTTTTAAACTTTTTACTACGATTGGCCCGAATTTAACAAATAAGTAAACTTTTTATAAACAAATGATTTTAACACAAATTAAACAATAAATTAGAAATACAAACACCCTAATTAATTTCACCACCCAAATATTTCAAATATAAATATTGCACATAAAACATGAATAACAAATTTGATCAATTAATTTCATGCAATTTGTAATAAATAAAATTAATTGTAAAAATTAAATAGAGTAGGGTTAGAGAAAATGATATCGAAAATTTTATAGTGGTTCGGCAACACCGGCCTACTCCACTTCCCAAGCTCCTCTCGGGTGTTCCACTAGGAAACTTGACTCTTTCCACAGTGGTAGTCAAACCGGTACAAAGTCTTCCTTTTTTTGGAGCAAGAAGAAATCCGACCCTTTCCACGATTCAGGATCAAACCGTTACAACTGCTCTTTTTCGGGCTCAAGAGCAACCTTTACAAAGGATATGGAAATTTAAAGAACAATCTCACGAACTCTCAAAAAAGAGTGGATACACAAATTTTCGCTCACAATTTTGTAAGAAAAAACTCTTACAAAATAAAGCCCACAAATTGCTTAGATCTCTCAAATAAAATCTCTCACAACACATCTAAAGAAACATTGAATTTTTGGAGAGATGAACAATCGATGAATTTGAGAGAAAATTGGGAAAAGGTGAATTTTTCTTTTTTAATCTCCACTGCCCCAGCCACCTACCGCCTGACACTTTTTTTTTCTCTCTCTCTTCAAGTTACCGTTGTAACTTATATACATATATAATAATTTTTTTCTTTTTTCTTTTTAATTTCTTTTGTTCTCTTTTTCTTTTCTCTTTTCATTTTCTTTTCTCTTTTCTTTTGTAAACTAAGATTTTTGACTCGCCACATGTCCTCTTTTATTCGTCCATGTAGGATTTAATTGTCACGTCATTCACTTCGGGAATTTATCCTTTCAACATCATTCGGCAATAACTTCTTCGTTTGAGCTTCGATTTGGGTAATTCAAAATTCATTGCTTATTTCGAGTTCTATGTTGTGGTCACTTCAAAACACTAAAATTGTCAAATAACATAATTAAGTTTGTTATCATCAAAACATTAATTAATTAATTAATTTGAGACTAAGGGCCAAAAAGCCAACAGATTTGTCTTGATCATCACGATCTGGTCGGTCGAATTTTCTTTTACCCTGAGAAGAGCAGGAATACTTCTTCCCAACGTACTTTTTGATATGGCCTCGCCTGATCAGATTCTCGATCCGGTCTCTCAAGTCATAGCACTGCAAAGTATCATGTCCATGGTCTCTATGAAACCTGCAATTTTTGTTCTTACTTCGCTTATCCGGACTCGACTTCATCTTACTCAGTTTTTCCAACATCGTATGCAAGTCGTTATTCTCAATGTTGGCCAGGATCTCCGAGAATGGGACATTGAGCGGGGTGTAATGATCGAACTCCCTTAAACGGCGATCATGAACTCGTACTGTTCGTTCTTGTCGTGATCGGTTATCGTGGGTAGACTTCTTTGACTCATGATCACGGTTCGTATGACCTTTTTTCGACTGCGAGCTCTACCTTCGACCTTGTGCATGCCTAGATATTACTGTTTGATGTTGGAGGTGTTTTGCCCGAAGTATATCCTCAGCGTGCATATACTGACGTGCTTGCTGAATCGCTTTGCTGTAAGTCCGAGCTGGTTGGATGGCAAAAAAATGAACCAAGTCGGGATTATTTATAGTCAATGTGAAAGTCATTCTAGCTGCGTCATCTAAGCAGTCGAGGACCTTAATTTTCTCTGCCATAAATCTCCCGACAAAATCACGCAGCGACTCGTCCTCTGATTGATAGATGGTGAGGAGATGGGTATCAGGTATTTTCCTGTCGTGTTGCACCAAGAACCGACTTATGAAGATCTTCCTCAATTGTTTCCAGGACCCGATGGTCTTAGGTTTTAATTGTTTGTACCAGGATCGAGCTTGACCTTTCAAAGTGACAGAGAAAGCCATGCAGTTCATTTCGTCACTCGCAACACTTAATTCCATCAAACCTTCGTACAGTTCGATGTGGTCAATCGGATCAGTCGATCCATCATATGGTTTCATGTCGGGTTTCTTCATCTTTGGTGGAAGTCGATATGCCATTATGGGGGCCATGAAAGGGGGATCCTCTCGTTCTCCTAGCTCCACCCAATTGGCATCATCCGTCTTACAACTTTGCTTCAAAGCCTCAAAATCATTCTGAAGCTTGTTGATGACCTCCTTCATGTAATCTTGCACTTCTGGCACATCCACCGTGGCTGGATATACGATGTAGTTGCGGCTGCTTCAACATGCAGCCGCTGAACTGTGTTCGAATTGACCCCTCCAGTCACTGGAGTAGATCCCAAGTTTGGAGTGACTAGGGTTTGTTGCCCAGCTTGTTGTGACACGTTGCGTTCTTCCAGCGTCCGGCGAAGATATGAGGTTTCTATCATTATGTGCACCCGAAGCCCTTCTCTTGGTCGACGGTAGCAGTTCGTCTTGCTCTTTAATTGAGGCGCTCGCGAACTGGCACCTGTGGGAGAACATCTTCATCCTCTGATATTGCAGGAGCCTTTTCGCGTGCTGGATCCCTTAGAATGGGAGATTCAGAAGTTTGTTCGTGTACATCAACCTCTCAGACCCTGATAGACAGTCCAGGTGCATGTACGTTTCCTGTTACTGCTTCTGGAATTTGGCTACGACGCAAGGCCGCAATTAAATTGGCTATCTCCGCCCTCAACTGGGCGACTCCCCCTATCTCCGACCGGACTTCATTGAGCTCTGAACGCAGCCTCATTAACTCCTAGCCCATTTGTCGGGCGGTTCTTGAGGAGCTGGGTCGTGCGGCATTCCTTCTTCCCCCTCCGCCTTGCATCAACGGTGGTCCCCCTCGTCCACGGGTCGGAGTGTGCACTGTATTCTGGGTGCGGCTGCTTGTAAATGATCGCTAAATCATTCCTTTGTCCGTCATCACGCTCCTGGTGAGTCACAAAGCTTACTGTTGATTCAATGTTCAAGAGAACTTTACGTTCCCACAGACGACGCCAATTGTTCTTACCGAAAAACCAATAATTACAATATTTCCTCGAGAACAATCTTGGATTTGAACCTACAAAAAACAAATTAGCACTCCGACAATCAAGTTAGTCTCTATACAAAGTAAATAATAGGAAAGTGTATCAGTCAATTTTTGCATACCATCTCCATTCGCCCATGTGGTATTTATAGATGAAGCAAGAAAATGACCGTTGAGTAGTTTGGCTCCTCATTTGAATTAAATGGTTCTCACTCCATGGAAATAGGGAATCTGCGTGAGCGGTTTGACTGTCATGGCGTAAATGGTAGAGTAAACCGTTTGACTTGACGTCTAGCCCGACTGAGTGTTCAGTTCGATTATGATCCGACCTAGTGCTTAGACAACTCCCCCTTTAATTAAATTGATGAAATGGCGTGTCTTCGAGATTCGAGGGTTAAACAAATAACATATGGGCATGAGTTGTTTACATTACCTTAATTTTTAAAGGCAGATCTTTTTCAAATAGGGACTAAGAAATAATTTTTATCGTAAGAAAAATATTTTGATATTTGAAATAAATTTCAAATGTTGCATACGAGACAACAATAAATCTTCGTGGCATAATAAATAAAATAATAAAATCCATGACTGCTCCTAATAAATATGGTAACATACCGAACATTTGATTAAAAAGTTAAAAATTATTTTTTATAATACGTGAGATGGAAATTACTTTTTGAAATCTAAAAAATGTATTAATCTTTATTACGAATGAAGTAATAGACAATGCAACTAAAGAAAATTTACATGATTTGCAACGTAAAATCAAGCTTAAATAATCTTAGTTCAACACCAAAAAATGTTCATCTCTTCGCTCCTCCCTTCCACTATACAAATATCCCATTCTTAGTTTTTAAATAACGATACGTCTCATGCACCCTATTATGTTAGGGTCTTTAATCTCATCTATTGGTTTCTCTTTGATTTAGCATGTCCCACGACATCTCTTGAGTGCTTGAGTTAGTTGAGAGAGACCTAGACTGTAAGAAGCGACCATTTTTAACAAATTCAAGAAGAAAAGTAAAACTAATGGGTGATTAGGATTCAAATTCATATTAACAGTTGCTTGCTTGATGAGTATCAACTTAGGCCTAATGGCATTGCAAAATTGAAGTCTTAGCTTTGCCACTTCCTCCATCTATGCTCTTAAGCTACTCAAACCCGTCCCCACCATCCACCACTAATCTATATATATATATATATATATATATTGGCCACCATCACTTAAACTTCTAAGCTCCCATTAATCCATTTTCTATTATTAACAATGGCAACTAATTCATCCTTGTTTCTCTGCTTCTTCCTCCTCCTCCTCTGTTTTGTAAACTTGTGTTGTTGTGATCCGGACCCGCTCCAAGATTACTGCGTGGCCAACCCCAAATCCTCATCCATGTTCTTCAACGGCGTGGCCTGCATCAACCCCAACTTCGCCACCACCGCCCACTTCACCACCTCGGCCTTGTCCAAACCCGGAAACACCAGAAACCTCTTCGGATTCAGCGTCACCGCCACCAACACCGACAACTTACCTGGGCTCAACACGCTGGGCCTGACCCTGGCCCGCATCGACCTCCAGGCCCAAGGCGTCGTCCCTCTCCACTCCCACCCACGCGCCTCCGAGATCACCATCTGCCTCGGCGGCCACATCGTGGTGGGCTTCGTCGACACGTCGAACCGCGTCTTCTCCAAGAAGATTGGAGGCGGCGAGTCGTTCGTCTTCCCCAAGGGGCTGCTCCATTTTATGTACAACGACGACTCCAAGAACTCGGCCGTGGCCGTGTCGGGCCTCAATAGCCAGAACCCGGGCGCCCAGCTCACGGCCTTGGCTGCTTTCGCTTCCAAGCCCGACATCCCTCCGCAGGTCTTGAAGAAGTCTTTTCAGATTACTGACTGTGACATCGCTCGCATCCGCAGGAGCCTTGGTGGCTGATTCCCATTGGCTTCCGATTTTATGAATAATGTCATTTACAGATATATATACATGTCCCATCAAATCATAACATAACTTATTATCATAAATCTTAAAAGAAATAGTGAAATTGATCATACACCACTTGTTCAAATTTAATTTAATGTTTAAATGGCGAAATTGAATCTTTTCAAGGAAAAAATTGATTCACCTGGAGAAAATAAAACTTCACTTAAGTTTAGATCAATCCTAGTTTTACTAATTAGTTTGCCTTTGACAATATAAAATTTAACAAAGACATTTTCTTTGACGAGAAAAAACAATGTTTATTAACTTTAAAGAAACGTAGGAATAAAATAACAAATACAATGGGTATAAAATGTGTAAGAACATTTATAACATATGAACCAAAAGAAAATAAAGAAAGATGAGTAAGGGCAATCTTTCCTCTGATAACCACAATGAAAATTTTGTGTCGATATATTATCAGTAGGTTACAAATATCTTGGATGTATCAAGAATTGATGATATTGAACAAAAATCTACAATGTTTTGCAAACAAATCACGATGTTGGTCAATATTTTGCAGCTCCTCTCCTTGTTTTCTCAATCGTACTTGGTACCGGAAGAAAATCTTTACCATTTAATTATCATTGAATGATATACTTGCTTCCACTAACCCGTACATGAAACAATGAATTAATCTCTTTATTAATTTCATTACCATATAGGTTTAGATTTAGTGAAACTTTAATGAATTGATAGTTTATGACCAAGATAAGTGTAACTCAAGGTTTAAAATATCTCTATTCTCCCAAATTCTAGGTTCGAATCCTTCCTGCACCACAATTGCCTCTAATTTTGTCCACTTTTGATTCTTCTCCAAATCCACCTATATGGTTTTCTCATATCTAAAACTAAAACACTATTCCCTCATTATTCTCCACAGTGCATCTTGAAACTTACCACTCAAGGTAGTAGTATGATCTTGAAACAGACGAATTTGTGTTAACATCTCTGAATCTTTGATGCCTGAACCTAATCAAGCTTATAACGCAATGCAACTTAAACAATTTAAGATGAGTTCGTCGAAATTTCTAGGTCGAGTTTTATTGAAATCCTTCCTCACACAACCCAACCCAACCCAAACCAAACAGTAAATTCTCTATACGTTACTAAGTAGGGAATCCCAACTTTAGATAGTCCCTTTTTATTATTATGAAGGTTCACATAGGGAGCAAAAGAGGCGTATTTCACGGTTACAAATGAATATACCACCACCTAGGGTTAAATATTTCAAGCCCAAATCACTGAAACATTTCCCATTAATGCCAGGGAAAACAAAATATATTCACTAATCTACACAAAAATCAGCGAAGGATTTACCAAATTGATGGCAGTGAAGGAAAAATAGAAATTCAATCAAACCTCTTGATTATTCTTCTTGCCTCTGCTGGGTTTTGGGGGAGTTAATGGAGGTCCCAAGCAGAGCTACTCATAACACTTCATCTAAATAATAAATCATGGAAGCACAGCTCTCACTTCTTTCCTATCTGCTCCATATGACTGCAAAATAGAAATTAAGGTAAGAAGGATAGAACCCACTCCAAACTAGAAGGTTATGTATCAGCGCATTAACACAATCATTCCAGGCATTTGCTAAGAAAATCGTGGAGAACTTCTATGGAGACTTCCAAAGGCACCTTTGAAACTATCCTGTCCCTCGGTTGACACAGAAGAAAATAACAATTTTTAACCACAAATTTCCCGCATCTGCCTCTCGGACTCAACCGCTGGCCACTCTCTCCGACTACTATCAATCAATTCTCTATCTCTCACATAAAATAAACCACGCCAGGGTTCACCCACAAAGATCAAGCAGACCTCTTTAGTAGTTCCTGGACAATTGGTCTTCTTGTGTAACCACACAAGATCGTACATTTTCTTTCCGTTTTCTTTTGGGTAAGGAAAATAACTTCATTGGATAAATGAGATTATAAAAGAAAGCGAAGGATTAGAAAGAACTTCCAATTGGCATAAACAAGAAGGTCCTCCAATGTGATGTGGGAAAAGAGAGGGTTGCAAACAATACATGATGATCAGCAGCAGTGAATCAAGTGGGTGAGCATTGATAAAGTAAAGAAACGTGTGGAAGTACAAGTTAGTAATAGAGTAAAATATTTGTAGAATTAAATAATCTTAAGGAGACAATTTAACGTTTGGTACAACGTTCTTTTTTTCATAGACTTTTTTTTTAATTATTTTTTCTAAGCATTTGGTACAACATTCTTATTACCCTTTCTTTTATTCGTCTTTTTTCATGAATAGTGTATAAAAAGAGTCATGCTAAGACAAAAGAATGCTCTTTTACATATTGTTAATCATTCCACCTCGCATGTGAATTTCATAATTTTGTTTTGCTTTAGCATTTGTGCTTGAGTTGACTTCGATATATGTAATGAAAGAGTTAAGAGAGAGGAAATCAATAATACCTCAGTTCCAAAACCCTTCACATACACATTTGTGAAGAGTTCAGAAGGATCTGGCAATGGATTTTCCTGAAACATGGCACAAGTAACAACTATCATTCGGATATACTCTTAACTAAGATATTCTACAAAATGGTTCCTAAAGATTGGCTCATAAATGGATGCATTGCATAAATAGTAACATGCACAAACACAATTGGGATTATAAATTTTTAACTACATGCTTCTCACCTTAGCTTGAGCAATAGCTTCATCAACTTCTCTTCTGACTTCCTTCTCAACATCCTAATGAACAAAAAAGAAACAATTTATTAGTAAAAAACATGCAACCCACTCGGTCAAACAGATCAATCCACCGAACAAAATGATGCAGGGCATGTAAAGCAATCGGTCTATAGGTCTAGGCAGGAGAAACATGATAATTAAATCAATCACCACCAATTATATTTCAAATTACAAACAATAAAAGTTAGCATCCGGATCCAAGTTCAACAATATACCTTTAGCTCCTTTTCTGTGGCCAGATCATGAGATAATACCAGTTTTCTAATTCTTTCAATGGGATCACGTTCCTGGTATTAGATCATAATGAAGACAGTCAAAACACAGAATCTGGTTATAGGAATCTGGTTATATGGGGTAAAATGCTATTTAGAAATTGATGAATATCCAGAATGAAACAAACCTGTCGGACACCAGAGATCTCATCACGTGTTCGGTATGTGCTACCAGGATCAGACATGGAGTGACCATGGTACCTATAGGTGTCCATCTCAAGAATCTAAAGAGAAACAAGGAGAAAACATAAATAGATTTTCATTTACAAGAGGCGAACATCATTGCACCAAATAACAATGAAAGGCTCAATTTCTTTGAGTTAAAAAAAAAACAATGTGTTCAAGGCTTCAATCATTTAAGTCCTCTTGAAAGTTATGGTATTATTAATACAAGAAAAATTAGGCAATATCTAATGTTTGCTTGTTGCAAGCTTTTGGGGTAAAACAATACTAGTTTCACAAACACAGGGATAAAATCTCAAATTTTAATGAAATCATCTTAGAATAAGAATAAAGAAATGCATAATCTMAAGATCTTTCTCTCTAGTCTTAAAAAAACTGGAAAATTTTACTACTAAAAAGAAGTTCTTCAATTTATTAATTCAAGATTCAATTTTCAAATTATGCTGTCAAATGCATTTTCAAATTCAGGAACTAGAATAGACACAATCCTCTATTGTATACTTATTTTCAAGAACTTGTTTTCAGATCAGAAACCAAATGGCCTAAATTTTTGGAACATTCTACTCCAATATCATTCTTTCAAATGTATGGATTTTATTTCTTTTCTTTTCTTTTTGGGTAAATAAAAATGAGATTTCTTTTCAACAAAAATGAAATGATACTTATAAAGGAGCAATATTCCGTTTGATCCCTCAGGAATAGAATCAACATGAAAGAAAGAGAAATAAATAGTTCTTTTCTTATGCTTTTTTTCTTTTTTAGAAGGGGGAGAGAGTGACTTAGATAAAATAAAACTCACAATTGGTCCATTCTTCAGAACATGTTCCTTAGCAAACTTGCAAGCCTGTTTGACAGCAAGAGCATCCATGCCATCCACCTGTAACCCAAAATTATGGTAACTTTTTTTGGATAGGAAAATTATGGTCACKTTTTGAACTCAAGGAATTAGTTGTAAAACCTATAGTATAGATACTGTTCAAGAAAATAACTGCTTCTACAGAGAAAACAAATGGAATATTTATTTTTTATAAGAAACATAGAATCATTTCATAGATGATAATCGATATGGAATTACAAAATAGATGGATGAAAGCCAAAGCCCCAAAATCAAGGAAGATTACGATTACGAAAAACTTTCAACAAGAGTATAAGCATTGAAAGGAGGATAAATTTTACACCACGTAAGTACTGCACATAACAATTATCAGTGAATTTGCCAATATGAGAATACAATGGAATATAAATAGTGTTAAATGCAAAGCATAATAAAAGCAACCAAAAAACAAGCATCATCCAAATAAAGTATATTTTTAAAAGTATTTATACATATATATCTTGTAAATAAAAGATAGCTTATACGATAATATAACACGAAATTTCATAAGTATGTTTTGCATCAAGTTTCTGGAATGAGTTTCTTACATCGTTGTATTGGAAAGTGGCTTTACCCCTCAACACAAAGGACCTCCTCTCATTTTAGTAACATATCAAACGATGAAAATTTATACATAATCCTGGGGACAGTATCCTCTATTTCTGGGAGAAGGAATCTTTTTTCAACCTTACCATTGGGTTGATGAAAAAGCTCAAGGTGCAAAGGGAGAAATGTGGGAGTTGATTGGAAGTCGTAAAAAGGTCAAACTTAGAAATCAGCAAKTCAAATTGGTAATTGGTTGATTGAGGTTGTGTCTATGCTGATGGTGTATTTGAGAGGCATACCTTCAATCGTAAAACTAAGGTTATCTCTTTATGGGACTCAATGGTGGCAATGGTGACTAAGGTGTTGGAGAGCCTCCTTCTCTGAAAGTGGCATACTYGCCCTCCTAATCCAGTCTATCTTGAACAAAATTCATTTTTCTTTATTGTATATGGGTGAGTGTTTGGACTAGGTTGCACGCACTTCTACTAATCGCACGAGACAATCGTTTGACTTTACAATATTTGATTGCTAAAGAACTTCATAGAATTTTTAAATCCTAGGTAGGTGGCTACCATGAAAATTGAACTCATCCCCACTAATTTCCTTTACTTTTTCACTCTCCAGTCGCTAGACCAACACATGGTGGTTTTCTTGAATACAATTCTCTATTACTTTTATCCCTCTTCAAAATTTAGGGATTCATGGAGGGATTTGGAAAGGATTTTGAGAAACTTTATGTGTACAGATGGAGGGGTCAAATCTAGAAAAGCACGTTGCTTTCAAACCATGTGAGGAGTGAGGATTAGAAATGGGGAACTAGGAGATTAAAAACATTGCCTTCTTATCTAAATGGTYATAGCAATTTCTTGAGACTTGTGGTATCAAGTCATAAAGTGCAACTATGGGTCGCACTCAAATGGTTGAGATTTGAGGTTAGGTTGTTAGGACATCTTAAGGAACCTTTGGAAAGTAATCTCTCAAAATTTTCACATTTTCTTATTCTTTGTTAAATACWCTATTGYGACCGGTAGTAAGATTTGCTATTAGGAGGATCCTYGGATTCTAGATGTTTTTATTTAACATTTTTATTTTTTTGGTATGAAACACGATATTTCATTGATGGTAAGAAGTGTACAAAAGGCCGCAAGGGCAAGTTACAAAAACACCTTCCAACTAGAAACAAGGTCGTTTCGGCTGTAACTAATGAAGGATGGGTAGAAGCATTTACACCAACCAAGGGCTAGAATAATAACTCCATCAAAAAAAGACTCTAAAGGGAYGGATGTGTCATTGAAGACCCTATTGTTCCTTTCTAACCAAAGTTTCCAAAGAAAAGCCGTATGRATTGAGTCCACAGAACTGTGCCCTCCTTCTTAAATGGGTGGCCGATCAAAAGACTGTCAAGGAAGATAGCTGGACAAGTKTGTAGGGCTGTCTGGCACCCAAAAGCAGTGAGAAGTTTTCCCCATATTCATCATCCCTGACTAAGAACATCCCAATTCCCTTTACTTTGCTTCCAGTTCCATTTTTGTTAAGCCTTACCTTAATGAACGAGGTCTATGAGTTAGTCTCATTTCCTTTTTGGTAAGAGACCAGAGTGTCGAAGACTTCATAAAGAAACAGCCAGACAAAAGAAAAAAGTTATCTTCCCTTCCTTCAATTACTAATAGAGTCCATACCTTTCCTGTGCATAGAGATTGCCATGTTTGGGCCATTAATCCATACAACATCTTCACTTGGCAAAGTGTTGTATAGTAGTTGTCCATAGATTTCCTACATCTACATTTAGTAATTAAGGTTTGGGACTCTTTTCTTCTCCTTTYTTTTCTTCCTGTAGCTTCTGTGTTGGTTTGGCCTAGGTTTTGGGCAACCTTTTTTGTATTTCATTCATCTCAATGAAAGTTGGCTTATTCATCAATATATAGACACACACACAGCAAAAAAGGAAGATGATATTTTAGATAAGAATCATATATATAATTACGCATACATATATTTTATTTGTCAAAATACCTTGAAGCCTTCCATTACTTTTAAGAAATTMATGAATGAGAAGATAATTTACTAATTTAGTCAAATATGCTTAAAGAAAATGAAGGTTGGACCTCTTTGATAACCTGCAAAAGACAACTACGACGATATTTAAGTGAAGGCACTTGCCATGGAAACCTCTCTCCACGAAGAAGCAGAAACTTGTTAACATTATGTGATGGTTTATCAGAAGTTAAAAGCACACAGATACAACCACAACACTCATGCCCGGATAGGCAGATACAAAGGGGAAGTGTCAGCCTCTTTGCTCTCAATTTGAACTCAAGAYATTATAGTCATAGTGCATCGAGAATATGGCAGATAAGTCTTTGGAGTAAATCATGCGGGAATTGGGGAAAAAATAAGATATACAGAGTTATATAAGTAGATAATAGATAATGTATCCCCAGTGGTAACTTCGCACCCCATGTTCATGACTTAAGATTTTGTATATTATCTTCCCAAAGGATTTTTGATAACTATATTCAAGACTCAAGTATCAAACAAACCACCACAACATTTCTTAAAGAAGCGAAACATGTGACAAGACGAGAAAAGGAAATTGAGATAATCAGCATCAATGGTATATATTTAGCAATTAAAAAAACATGGATAGAGAAGCCTCACTTTCAATCCAGGAACGTAGTCCCCACGTTTATAATAAGATGGACTCTTCGCTGCTCTCCACTCAGCAGTCCCCATACCGTCTAACAAAAATCCAACCAAAATGGAACTAAATCAATCAAGAACATGACGAATAGAGACAGCGAAAAAACTCCAACGTCCAATTTGAGGTTGAATTTTTTCACTAAATTCTTACAATGGTTGTTCTCGCACACGAGAATGACAGGCAGATCCCAAAGCGCGGAGATATTGAGCGCCTCAAACAACTGACCCTGATTCGCCGCGCCATCGCCATAAAGAGCAAAAGTAACAGTCTCATCCTTGGAATACTTCTGCGCGAACGCCACTCCACATCCAAGAGGTACTTGAGCACCGACAATACCATGGCCACCATAGAATCCAGCGTCCTTCTTATAGAAATGCATAGAACCACCTTTACCCCTCGAGCACCCAGCCTGGCGTCCCATTAGCT